GCCAGAGGAAGGCCTGACAGCCTATTTATTAAATTGTGCAGGGACAGAAGCAGACTGGAGTTGCTGGATGGGAAGCTTCCTTCACTATTGGCAGTGCCTGCAGACACACTGGTGCTCCTCCTGCTGACAAGTTAAACCTGCTTCCCTGCCTTCATCCTTTTCAGTGACAGCTCTCCCAGTGGCCATAAGAAATGAACATGGTTAAATCAGTGGCTACCTTAGAGTCTGCAGAACTTAAATTGGTGGCAGCAAGTTGGCATTTATGTGAGAGTGACATTTTCACCAAAGAAGCAGAATCTTACTTGTTCGTGGAATGGCAGCTATGGGAAGAGAGAGCAAGGGAGGTGGAATTGGCTCCTACCCAGCATCAGTTTGTCTTGACTCCGTTGTTTTCCCGATCATGTCCAAACCAGAAACAGACTCATCTGTCTTTCAAAGCCAGACCGAGGGGTGGCTCTCAGGGCTGAGGGAGTGGGGCACAGCACAAGACCATCGTCATAAGTACTGCAGACTGGTATGTAGTTTAGGGAGCAAAACACAATATTTTTTACAATTTGGGGAAGGATTTTGCAAATAAGAATGTGAGAGATTAATAGCCCTGGCACAAAGCAGGCACAAGAATAGAGAATGCAGTTTTCAATTTATTGTACTCAAGAAAGTATGATAAACAATAGACCTGTGCAGAAAAAAAAAAAAGTCTAAGCCAGTAAGGAAAAAATGAGCACTTGCTTTTAGGATTTTCAGAAAACAAAGAAATAAATCCCAATGTTATGTTAAAGTAGAATCAAAAATTATAACTTTTACATATGCTATCTTAAAAGTAAAAAGGCATAAATTCAGGAATAGGAGTAAAGGTATAAATTCGAGATAGTCAAGCTGGGAAACTAAAGTACAAAAAGGAATGACTAAAAGGGACTCCGGGACAATTATGATTGCCTAGAAAAATATTGTGTTCCTATGTTGCAGACACTGTGAGTTAACTTAATAAAACTGATGTGCTTTTTTTCTCTGGGCTGTCTGCTAGGAAGCTCTGAACCACATGTTGTGTTATGTTATTTTCACAATTAACAATATCCACAGTGCCGTGTCATTGAGGAATTAGAAATACTAACTAAGAGGTACTTAATTCAAGATAGTTATTAATATTGCTATGATTGACCATCATTGAAAGGAAAAAATTTAATACATTTCTTATGGGCAAAGTGTAAAACAGCTCCATGTGCAAGTCATCAAAACACTGAGGAAGGGGCCATCGTGCAGTTTCGAATGACCCAGGCTGGACAAATGGTACCTGGCTCTGTAGCACTCATCATTACCAACTAAGGGTGTGAGACGAGCGTAGATGTTGAGTAGTTTCTCTTACACAAGAAACCAAAAGTGAGAATAACTTAAAGAAAAAGTAGAAGAGAAATAATAGGAAATAGGAAGATAGGTCTTTTCCAAATAGGACACCAAGAGATGGAGGAGGGGTGAGGGAAAGAAGGGGAAAGGGAATTTAAAAAATGAAAATGTGTTATGTACAGATACCAACTCTTTACAATGAATGTAATTATTTATGTATTGCAAACATGCAATAATAAATTTTTTTCCAACAGTAGAAAGTAAAGTGTACGAGATGCTATTGACAGCCTCTGTATCGATGAGTGAATACTAAGCTTTCAGAAAGAACCTTATTGTGCATATCTCAACGATGCGATGTCAACTTCCCCTCTCTTGTCTTCCCTTCCCTCCTGTCCCTCCTCTCCTCTCTACTCCTTCCTTTTCTTTTTCCCCCTTTCCTTTCCTGTCCTCTCCTCTCCTCTCCTTCCTTCCCTGGTTTTCTTTTGTGGTGTTGGAGAACGAACCCAGGGTCTTTGCACTGAACGACATCCCCAGCCCTTTATGTTTTATTTTTAATTATTTTTTACTTTTTGTTTTGAGATGGGGTCTCTAAATTGCCTAGGTTGGGCTCAAATTTATAATCCTCTGGGATTTCCACCGTGCAGGGTTCTCTCTCCCTCCCTCCCTCCCTTCCTCCTGCCCTTTCTTTCTCTAACTCCACGTTTCGCATATCTTTGAAGTTGCTTCAAGGTTCCCTTTTGAAATAATTATGTACTTTAAAAGCTGCTTGCCTAGTTGTCAGGGGTTGGATAGTCTTCCTCCCTGTCCTGTGGGGTGGCCTCCTTCCTAAGCTGCAGAACTAACTTACTATTCATTTCGGTTTGCTCAGATGGGCACACGGGTGCATGCATCACACACAAGAGTAATAATGTATAACACACTATGCACAGTTGCCATGTGGCTTCGCCCACGGAAGACAGGGAGCTGCCAGGCTCCGGCAGGGGCGGACAGCGAGGAGGGTGTGGGGCAGACGGGTGGGACAGCTGGAAACGGAGCTGCGCCAGAGGCTGACGCAGCAGCAGCCTGGTCATGGGCCTTCCTGAGAGGCCGTCCTGTCCGCTTGTGATGGGGAAGCTTTCCTTGCTCTCTTTCACCTGCTCTTTTTGGCCACTCTGTGTCTCGGGGGCCCTGCGTGCCTAACTCCAGCCTCTGCTCCTCTTCTGTCTATGACTGCAGCTCCCTGGTCTCCGTTTCAGCACAGTTCCAGATCTCAGCACCAAAGCTCACCCTCCGCACAGGTTCCCCAGCTACACTCTCCATTTCATTGATAAACCCTAAGGGGAACTTGCTCTTGGTTTCTGGCCAGAAGCAGATTTGCAGTACAGTCAAGACATTGAGCATCAGCATCTCTCAGGTGTGTGGGCTTCTTGTAAGTCCCTCATTTGGCCTTCACAATTATTATTCCTTTCTTGAAGAGAATCCTCCTTTATCCTAAGCTCATAATCTGAAGAGCCCCACAAAACATGCTTGTATTCCAAGATATCTATCTTCTAACCTAAGATAGATATCTTGCTTCCTGATTAAAGTAGGAGACATACACAGATAATGCAAACATTTCCTGCTTTGAAATGTTCAGAGGGGATGTAATGTTTGGAGCTGCAGCAGCCATTTTGTGACTTTAAAGTATCTGGTAAATGAATTGCTATACACCTGATTCCAGCACTTACTATCATTAAAATGATAGATCAAGCAGCCCTGGAACTGCCTACTTCCAGACCTCTAGTTAAGCGAGATAGTAGATCCTGACTATTTAAGCCATTATTTGGTCTATGACTTATATCCAAGAGCAGCTTAACTAATACCCCTAGGTCTCCCATCACTGCTTTTTGGTCACTATGGAAAGATGTGCAGCGTTCGTCTTGCTGGATATGCCACTGCTGAGATGGCTTTGGTTGCTTCTGGAGCAGCTTCAACAGTGCCTGTCCCACTCTCTTGAAGGGACCCAAGGCCTGTCCCACTGGAGTGGACAGGGTGTCTCACCAGGGGTCCATCACCTCCACAGTGACCTCTGGCTTGCCATCCCTTAACTAAGCCTGTTTCCCACCAATACCCCAAATCACACTGTATTTTACCATCTCCCTTCATGTCAGGAGCCAACTCTCAGTGAAGTTGACTTTAGCTAAACATGAGAAAGCGAACAACAGATACATGTAGTCACTCTAAATCAGGAGTGGCAACTAAGTGTGCTTTAATCCTCATAATCTATTTACCTTTAAAGATTTAATGTAACTGCATTAGTATATTACAAAATGAACAAAATTCAAACAATATGCTTGCTGTTGAACTCGGAAATCTGGCTTTATGGAACCAAGTTGGCGCTGCACCTGCCCAGGTGGCCCGAGAGATGCCCATGTGTTCAACACAAGACCCCCAGGAAACCTTGTGACACAGCACTGCAGGAGCCTAAATAATCTCACTCCAGGTGAGCTTTGAGCACAGGGACTGAGGGAAGAGAAGACCTTTGGTTCTAGGAGGAGACAGTGCAAAATGACCTTCTTGGAGACCTTTTAAATCTCAAGGCAGAGAGAGGCACAGTTTGCCACCAAAGGCTCTAGTTAGTTTCTGTAGCCAACATTTCTAACCAGATCTGCTTGGTTCACAGCCCCTTGGCAACTAGACGCCTGTCTGTCTGGGGGCACAGAGGAATGGCTTGGGCCTGCTGGACAACTGAAATTCTGTTATGGAGCCCCCAGTGCTCCATGCCCAGGTTGCCAGCCTTTCACCCATTCGCCATCAGTATCTCTGTGACGACCACCTGCTCTTTCTGATGGGTTACTAACTAGTCTTAGGTCTTACACACATTGGTCTCAACCAGCTACTGTTATCTACCTTCTCTTTGTACTGATTGAACTCGGGCCCTTGCGCTCACGAGGCAGGTGGCAGAAGCTCTGAGCTAAATCCCTGGCCCAACTCTTTTTATTTCTTTATTTGCTTTTTTACCCTGTAGTCTGATCTAAATTCAACCCACCTTGAAACTCAAATCTACAATAACCCACGGCCTCTTCAGGAATAGATTCTGGATGCAGCATGAGCATGGATTCCCCTGGTGGGGCCACCTTCTTTGTTGGCTCCAAATCATAAGATTCAAGAGCCCGGTGAGCTCGGAGTCCAGGCAGAGGAGGAGGATGTGGAGTCATCCAGGCCTGAGGCAACTAGGGTTCAGGCCAGAAATACAAGGTAATCTCCTCCATAATAGCAAGCTGACAAGCTGAGGACCTGGGTCTATGGAGTTCTGTTTGCCAAACATTTCTCTTAGAGGTGAAAGCAAAGTTGAGCCTCTCCTTGCTTTCCATTGCCCTAGAGCAGTTGCTTTGGTTCACAGTAATTGTTCTGCTATCAACTGAACAGGTTCCATTGTAAGCCTGGGTAATTGAGTTAAAGCCCATTTGTTGAAATACAGGACGTCTGGAGCCATGAAGTCTAAACCATGACTCTGGGTTTGTGTCTACAAACCTACCTAATCAAACCTTTTTGATTCCCTAAAGAAGGAAATAATGCAGTAAATGTCACCCTGGTGAAAAAAAATCTCCTAGGTATAGAAGTTGAATAATTATTATTTGTCTTTGGACTATTGGATGGAGTTTTCATAATGAACAAATTGTCAAAGACTTTAAAATTACCTCTGTTATGAACCACCCCTCATCCGCCACTAAAGTCAAAGGAGAGACAAATTTCCCTTTCTTGTAATAGAACCTGCTTGGTATGGCTTCTTTCTTGTAGACAGTCATGTGTTCCACTCTGCTCAATTTGGTATAAATCTGCAAAGAAAACCAAGAATGACCAACTTTGCACTCTTTTTTAAAAAAGCATACTGAATATTTGTGGACTAGGGGATAGGGGACTTTATAAGACCAAAGAGTGAAATTACCAAACATCTGATAGTTTTCATAGCTCACATAAAAAGCTGGTTTTATCCTAAGGCTGAAGATTTATAAATCTTCTGACCTGAGAAGTGTACCTCTAGGAATTTAGTGAAAAATCTCTTACATATGCACCTGTATATATAAAGAATGGCCCAGATCCCCAGCAGCAGTGAAAGGGATAAAGAAATACTGAAGGGTTTCTTCCATGGAATACTATATTGCAGTGAAGATGAATGGATCACAGCTGTCAGGGCACATGGAAGATCTTAGAGATCTCTGATGGAGGAAAATTAATGTAAATTGCCAAAAAATACAGACAGGACTATTGCTATCATACAAAGTGCAAGTAACTACAGAACTAAACAATATATATGGTAAAACTATAAGGAAAATTATGAAAATGGAAACAAAATTTAGGACAATGTGTTTTTTCGAGATGGCAGAAAAGATTATGGGTCCCTGAAAGGACATGTAGAAGAGTTCACAGATCATGGCAATGTTCTACTTAACTTTTTAGTGAATATCAGGAGGCTGTTACTACATTATCCTTCATACCTCACAATAATTCTTATGTCTATACTCACTAACATATTGCAGAAATGTATCTATGTCAAAGTTTGTCTACCAAAATTAAAAAGCAAATGAGAAGTGGGCCTGCCTCATATTCAGTACCACAAAGGTCAAAGCAAAAGGACATTCTTCAACTTCACCTAGAGAGTATGTGTTACCTGCATGTGCTTCTTAAAAGTACTAGTAATTGTTTAGTAACTCTACTGTTAATTTCATGACAAAGATGTGAGCTTTGTACATATTTCTAACATTTGGCAGCCACTTAAATATTCATGGCTAAAATGAAAACCAACTGACTGCTATTGACTTGCTGGCCTTCTGCTAAATCATACAGTCTTAGGTGTAACTAAAAATGAAATTGAATTTGTCAAGTTGACTTTGAAAAATAATTTGTCTTTAGATTGTTTAGTAAAAGATTTCTCACGGGCCCATGAATTAAGATTTCCCTCTTTAAAAAAGCCAGAGTGCTTAAGGCAAGTAGGTGCATTTGCAGGAAGATTTTGGATACATGAAAAGTCTGGTGCAAACACAACAGGTTTTGCAAACTGTTGTGTCTGTCACGTGACCAACTGTCACTCAAACAGAGCCCCCCTTTTGAATAATCTACCAACTGCTGTAGGCTGCAAGTGGTGCTTGACTTAAACATCTCATTGGAAGAAGCCCTTCCTAGCCTGTGGGCTGTGGTGCCCAAGCAGTCTGGACAGGGCAAGGCCCTCTATGCCAAGTTAGAGACAAAGACGATCCTCCTTGCCAGGAAAACAGGACATTGTCTCATGAACCTGCCAACATGTTCTGACTTCAGTTTTCATGAGTCCAAGGAGATGTTGTGCAACATCCACTTTCTGACTAAGGACCCCGAGAAGAAAGCACAGTCTCCCTGTGGCAAGAACGTGGCTCTTACATGACAGTAACCATGGATGGGATGCAGGTTTCTCCTTGGGCCAGAGATGGAACTCAGCCTCCACCAGGGGCCCATCCACCATGACAAGTGTCCAGAACCAACTGTATCCCTGCCGTAAGGATGGACCATGGCCTCTTCCTTCCCCAGTGGTTGGCAAACTCCACCACCACAAGCTTACAGAAATAAAGAAAATAAAGGTGCTTCTTGGTCCAGATCTGAGAGTGAACAGAAGTTATGGAGTCTGTATTGGCAGGTGACAACGCAGCCTGAGAGCTCAGCAGTAAGGTGCCACTTGTCCCTCCCTACTTCCCCCAGGTGGTTTACTACATCCTGCCAGCTATAATCATTGTTTTGAAAGAATGGTAAGTAGGGGCCTAATTATCCCATGATGCTGAGTTCCTTCCAACCCCACACTGTGAGGTCTCAATCGTATCCCTCTGGGGACATTCTCCTTTGATAGTGGTTGTCATAATAAGTGACACATGCATAGTCTGTGCAGTGGGCCCAGCATGATTCTCTGTGCTCTGCACAGCCTGGGGTCAGCTGCAATTTCATCACTCCCCTCCTATATGGGAAGCAGCAGAGTGTCAGTGGAGATGTCTTTCCAGTTCCAGCTGATGACACAGCTGGGATTGGAACACAAGGGCTATGGCTCCTGAAATAAGTGGCTGGCCTACTGTACAGCCTGCCTCAGCTCCCTGCATTAACTTGTCACTCTCACATCTCCAGTGCATGCTCAACATAAACACCACAATGGAACAAATCAGACCGGAAGCTTCTTTGCAGAAAAGAAACATTCTGTGTCTGCTTCTGATGGTCTCCTCATTTGCCTAAGTAAATAATATAATAAAATAGCTCTAAAAGGGCTTACTTCCACATGCTGGGCATGTGCAAGGCATTGGACATCTTTTATCTCACTTGATTTTCATAAATTAAATAGGATAGCTGAGTATGGTGGCACATAGCTGTTATCCCAGCACTCTGGGAGGCTGAAGTATGCCCAGCCTGGGCAATACAGCAAGTCTGTCTCAAAATACCAAAGGGCTTGGGAATGCAGCTCAGTGCAAAGGCCCTGAGTTTAACTCCTAGTACTGATGAAAAACTCAGTGGGCATGAATACCACAGTAGAGAAGACTGGAGTCAGGGAAAATCTTAATCTTAATATCTTAATGAGATTGTCGGGTGGATAAATGAGTGGCAAGCTACATGACCTGCCTGCCTTTAGAGTCTGAGCACCTATAGGATAACACAGACAGTGGAGGCAAATGAGGCGGGTTTGGCCCTCAGGGCCCCATCCAAACATTTCTTACCTCAGTGTGTTTCCCAGGGACTGGCCACAGGCTCACGACAGGCCCTCGGTCCTTTGCTTGCTGCAGGTCACTCAGGCTGATGTATCTGTTCAGCTCAATCACTTTGTCCATCCAGAAAATGTCAGTCATTCCATGATCTGAGAAAATGATGACGTTCAGCTCATCCTGCAGGCCACGTTCCTGCAGAGAGAGCAAAAACGGTCATCACAGCACCTACCAACAGAGTCTGTCTTGTAGCAAGGTGTTTTTAAACTACCAATTATAGAGGAGATATTCCCTCAATTCTGAACTTAAATCATCTACCATCTGCTTTGACCAAACAGTTCAAAATCATGGCAGCAGCACTTTGGAGAGGGGAAACCTCCCATCCCAATATGTGAAAAAAAAAAAAAAAAAAAAAAAAAAATGACCAGGCTTTTACCTTGGCAAATAATCCTCCCTTCTTTTATTTCCTTTTACTTATTCAACCAAGTTGTGTGGTCCTATGAGAAATACTGCTTGCCCATAAAAGAAATGAAAATTTGCATTTAGTCACTCAGCCATTTCTCATGTCTGACTCCCATCTCCAACCAACTTGCTCAGCAAATTTTATAGGAATCTAAAGAACTGGGTCAGCCTGCCAGCTAGGTCAGGTAATGATGTCCATGTAGGTCATTTAGATCCCAGGCCAGGCTGTGGAACAAGGGTTCTCTTGGTGCCTCTGAGAGTGTTGTATGAAGAAGAAAAAGCCTCCCACTCATCTAGTGAAAAGGAAAATGATCAGGGGAGTACAGTCAAGGAGAAACACAAGAGTGACAAAGAGAGAATGGCAGGCTAGTTGCCCTTGCTTTAAGTCACCTGGATCCACTGTGTCATGTACTTCAGGACAGTGTCCACGGCTCTGAGGGCATCTTTTCTCTGGGGTGAGGAAGGGCCATAGTGGTGGCCTTCCACATCAATCCGCTCATGGTATATGGCTGCAAGGTCAGCCCGGCCACTCCTGGAGGGAACAGGGTAAGAGAAGCATGGCTGAAGGTGACACCTGATAGCTTAGTCCCTTGTGGCCTACCAGCCCTCTGTGAAGGCATGGGCATCTACCCCAAAGGTCTGTCCTGTGGACCAGGCAAGACCCCTATTCAAAATGAACCCGGTGGAGGGATACTGGATCAAGACTTGCTACTTGTGAGCATCTTGGTGAAAAAAGTTGGAGAATGTATCAATGGGTCCACCCCTGTCCTGGCTATATGAAATTGCTCACCAGGTCTCTAACAGCTGGAGGATGTGCTAACAGGCAAAGGACACTTTTTAAAAATAATTCTTAATTTGTTAAGTTTATTGGTAAATTTTAGGTGTACAATATGATGACATTCATCATTGGGAATTTTTACCTTTACATGATATATCTTGGTTCTTATTTTTCCCCATTCCTCTGTCCTCTCTTCCACCCTTTCATCCCTCCCTATTTATAACAACTTTGTTTCCATTTTTTTCCTTTTCTTATATGTATTCCATAAAACAGTTCCAAACAGATATCCAAGAGATTAAAAACTCCATTGAAAGTGTTTCCAACAGAATAAAAGAATGCAAAGATAGAATCTCAGATATAGAAGATAAGATTGTAGTCAGTGACCATGAAAAGAGAGATCTCCTAAAAACAGTATGGGATCATGAGAAATCGATCCAACAACTCCTAGACAATGCAAAGAAGAATAACATAAGACTGATAGGAATCCTTGAAGTAGCAGGAGAAAATACAAATGACTTTAAAAAGCTGTTAACAGAATTAGTGACAGAAAACTTCCCAAACAGAGGGGAAGAATTTGACATTCAGATAAGTGAGGCATATAGGACTCCAACTAGCCACAATTAAAAAAAAATCTACACCTAGACATATAATAATCAAGATCCCAGAAACCCAACAGAAGAACAAAATACGACAAGCAGTAAGAGAAAAGAAACAAATCACATGCAAAGGAAAGCCCATCAGAATCACAGCAGACATTTCAACACAAACCCTTAGGGCAAGGAGAGCCTGGAGTGAGGTATTTCAAGTACTAAAAGAAAACAACTTCTAACCTAGACTGATGTATCCTGCAAAACTCTTTTCAAGAGGAAATAAGATACTTCCATGACAAAGAACACCTGAGAAACTACATGAATACCAAACCAGCACTACAAGAAATTTTAAACAATATCCTAGAAAAAGACATTGAAGGTAACAACACCATGAGGCCCAACAGAGCAAATCAAATAGGCAAGGCCAGAAGCTAAACAGAGAAGGCAAAAAAGTAAAGAGTCAACAAAAGGTCAATAACATGACAATAATAAGTCAGTACATATCAGTTATAACCATCAATGTCAATGGCCTCAACTCACCAATCAAGAGAAATAGACTGGCAGAATGGGTTAAGAAGCAAAATCCAAAAATATGTTGTACACAAGAAACACACCTAGTGCAAAAAGAAGCCCATAGACTGAAAGTAAAAGGATGGAAAACAATTCTCCATGTGATAGGAGCCCAGAAAAAAAAGCAGGGGTAGAAATCTTATTCTCAAACAAAGTAAATTTCAAATCAAAACTGATTAAAAGAGACAAAGAAGGCGACTACATCCTTGTAAAGGGATCAATTGAAGAGGAAGTGGTGACAATCATAAACATACATGCACCAAATACTAATGCCCCCAACTATATAAAAGAAATATTAAGAAACATGAAAAACCAAACAAGCACTAATACAATTATAGTGGGGGATCTAAATACCCCACTTTCACAAATAGATAGATCATCTAGGCCAAAAGTCAAAAAATGAAATACTAGAATTGAATCAAGCTTTTGAAAGCATCGACTTAATAGAGTGTTCCACCCCACAAAATCAGAGTATACATTCTTTTCCGCAGCACATGGGTCATTCTCCAAGATAGATCACATACTAGCTCACAGAACAAGTTTGAATAAATGCAGAAGAATCAAAGTTATTCCCTGTATATTATCAGATCATAGTGCAATCAAGCTGGAGATCAATAGCAAAAGAAACGATAGGAACTTCACAAACACATGGAAATTGAACAATACTCTGCTGAACAATCAATGGATCACAGAGGAAATTAAAGAAGAAAGACAGTTTTTACAAATAATGAAAACACCAATACAACATACAGGAATCTATCTATGGGACACAATGAAAGCAGTTCTACGTGGAAAATTCATAGCACTGAATGCCCACTCTAGGAAAACAGATCAAATAAACAACCTAATAATAAAAATAAATAACAACCTAATAATAGACTCCTAGAAAAACAAAAGCAAGAAAAACCCAAAGCTCAAACAAGAAAGGAAATCATAAAGATAAGAGCAGAAATCAATGCAATGGAAACTAAGAAAACAATACAAAAACTAATTGAATTGAAGAGTTGGTTTTTTGAAAGAATAAATAAAATTGATAAACCCTTAGCTAACCTTATCAGAAAAAGGAAAGAAAAGACTCAGATCCATGCAATTAGGAATGAAAAAGGGGAAGTCACAACAGATCCCACAGAAATCCAGAGGATCATTAATACATACTATGAGGACCTGTACTCTAATAAAATGGAAAACACAGAAGAAATGGACAGATTTCTAGATACTTATGAATTACCAAAGTTGAACAAAGAAGATAAAAACATTTTAAACACCCCAATTACAATCAATGAAATTGAAAATGTAATTAAAAATTTATGGATTCACTGCTGAAATTCACAAGACATTTAGAGAAGAACTACTGCCATTACTCTTCAAACTTTTCAATGAAATTGAAAGGGAAGCAATACTTCCAAACTCATTCCTGGAAGCAAGTATCACTTTGATTCCCAAACCAGGGAAAGACACAAATGAAAAAGAAACTACAGGCCAATCTCCTTAATGAATATAGATGCAAAAATCCTTAATAAGATACTAGCAAACAGAATTCAGAGGATCATCAAAAAGATCATACATCCTGACCAAGTCGGATTTATTCCAGGGATGCAAGGATGGTTCGACATATGTAAGTCAATAAATGTAATACACTATATTAACAGAGTCAAGGGCAAAACTCATATGATCCTCTCGATAGATGCAGAAAAAGCATTTGACAAAATTCAACACCCATTCATGATAAAAACCCTGCAAAAAATTGGAATAGATGGTCTATATCTAAGCTTAATAAAGGCTATCTATGAAAAACCAACAGCCAACATCATATTAAATGGCCAAAAACTGAAAACCTTCACGTTAAAATCAGGAACAAGATAAGCATGCCCACTATCACCACTCCTCTTCAATATAGTTCTGGAAATATTAGCCATAGCAATTAGACAAGAGAAAGAAATTAAAGCAATAAAGATAGGAAAGTAAGAAGTTAAACTGTCATTATTTGCTGACAATATGATACTCTACATTGAAGACTCCAAAAACTCCACCAAAAGACTTCTAGACTTAATTTACAGATTCAGTAGAGTATCTGGATACAAGGTGAATACCCAAAAATCAATAGCCTTCTTATACACAAATAACAGACTCACTGAGAGAGAAATAAGGGAAAAAAATTCCTTTTATAATAGCATCCAAAAAAAATGAAGTATCTAGGAATCAATCTAACAAAAGAAGCAAAAGATCTCTAACCTGAAAATTATAGCACTCTGAAAAAAGAAATTAAAGAGGATATAAAAAAATGTAAAAATATCCCCTGCTCCTGGGTAGGAAGAATCAACATAATGAAAATGGCCATACTACCAAAACTGCTATATAGATTCAATGCAATGCCAATGGAAATTCCAACACTATATTTCACAGAACTAGAAAAAATAATCCAAAAATTCATTTGGAACCATAAGAGATCTAGAATAGCAAAAGCCATCCTAGGCAATAGAGACATGGCAGCAGGTACAACAATTCCCAATTTGAAAGTATACTACAAAGCCACTGTGATAAAAACAGCATGGTACTGGCAAAGAAACAGATCTGAGGATCAGTGGAACAGATTGGAAAACACAAAAACAACTCCAGATGTACTCAGCTACTTCATCTTTGACAAAGGAGCTGACCATCCCCACTGGAGGAAGGATTGCCTCTTTAACAAATGGTGTTGGAAAAACTGGATTTCAACTTACCAAAGATTAAAACTAGACCCTTATCTTTCACCATCTACTAAGCTAAAATCCAAGTGGATTAAAGACCTAAATATTAAAACAGAAACACTAAACTTGCTGGAAGATAATTTAGGCAGAAATCTTGAAGACATTGGCATAGGAAAAAACTTTATGAACACATCCTCAGTAGTATAGGAACTAGCAGAAAAAAATCAACAATTGGGATCTCATTTTATTAAAAAGCTTCTGCACTGCAAAAGAAATCATCAACAGAAATAAGAGACAACCTAAAATGGGAAAAAATTTGTATCAGCTGCTCCTCAGACAAAGGACTATTATCTAGAATATAAAGAACTCAAAACAATCAGCTCCCCCCCATTATAAAGACCCAATTCAAAAATGAGCATCTGAGCTGAGTATGGTGGTGCATGCCTGTAATCCCAGCACTCAGGAGGCTGAGGCAGGATGATCGCTGTGAGTTCGAGACCAGCCTGGGCTATGTAGTGAGTTCCAGGTCAGTTTCAACTACACAGTGAGGCTCTGTTTCAAAAAAAAAAAAAAAAGACCAAAAACCAAAAAACAACAAAAAAATGGGCATCTGAAATGAACAGACATTTCTCAGACAAAGAACTAAAAGCAGCAAGTGAATATATGAAAAAAATGTTCCACATCACTGGTCATTCGAGAGATGCAGATGAAATCAACACTAAGATTCCACCTCACCCCACAAAGAATGGCTACTATCAAGAAATCAACCTATAACAAATGTTCGTGGGATTGTGGGGAGAAAGGAACCCTTCTCCATTGTTGGTGGGAGTACAGACTGGTGCAACCACTATGGAAATCAATATGGAGATACCTCAAAGAGCTGGGACTAGAGGTTCCATTTGACCCA